AGCAGCCATCACTGGCAGCAATTCCTCCTTCCCACTTCATATTTCTACTTCACCATGCCCCTCTGCAGCACACCACCACACACTTTCCCAGTTACAACCCTGAATACTTCAAATCATGACCTTTATTAGTCCCCAACGAGCATTTCCCTTTTATCCTGCATCAGTCTAGCTGCTTTGAAGGCTTTCATAAAGGACTTAAAAGCCTTTTGGAAACCCAGACAGACTGGATTAACTCCAGCTTCCTGGTCCACATACTTGCTGACTCCTTCAGAAACCTCCCAGCAGATTTGAAGTCTGGATTCCTCCTCTTCCTCATCCATCAGCCATTGGCCCTTCCAGCACATCACAGTCCTTTAGGTCTCAAGTCTTCATTAGAATTTCTACCAGTGTGGCAAAGACATCACGGTCACCGGCTGGTAATTCTCTGAAAACAAAACTTTCAAACCCCGTCCACACTTTTGACACTTCCCTAATGTGAGGAGAACTTTAAAAGAGAGGCTACAAGCAAGAGCTTTGGTCTTTTCATCCTCGGGTCCCCTGACAATTTGGGGTGCAGGCCCAGCCCCTGCTCACGTTCATTGAACACCCTGTCCTACCGCCTCCTCTGCCAAAGTTTCAGCTCAAGACCTACCCCCGAGCCTCCCCATCGGACGACTCCAACGAGAAAGCCCTCTGAGCTCTTCCAAGTAAAACCAGACAACCTTCAGCTTGTCTACTACAGTCTTTGCTTTTTTGAGCAGTCCTTTCATTCCTCAATTGCCCACCAGCCCCAAGGACTCCCTGGAAGGCTTCTCCCTTCCATCTGAAAGAGGACATGCCCTCAGATTTGGGGGTTTATCTTGGTAAGTGGATGCCTGTGGTCCCTCTTTTGGTTTTGACCTGGTTTACTGCCATTTTTATACTTAACATATCAGGGACCATGCATATTTCTACCTTCCCCATTTGGGTAGGACTTTGACTGTTTTCCAGTGTGCCTTGAATACCACCTCTGTGTCAGAGTTAAACCACGTGCACCTTTCTGTGGGTGCATGGGGAAGGTCCCTTCCGGCGTTCACCTTGTATGGGACACATATTTACCCTATATACTCATGCCTACACTGTCTTCACAGCGCTTGGAATCATTTTTCAGCCACTGAAGGTAGCAAATGGCTTCGGGGCATGAACAGGGCCCACACCGCTGACTGTGGGGCAGCACTGGCTGCAGAAGCTTAGGTACTGCCGCCTCCTGGGGCGGTAGCAGGATCTACCCACTTCATATTTCTACTTCACCATGCCCCTCTGCAGCACACCACCACACACTTTCCCAGTTACAACCCTGAATACTTCAAATCATGACCTTTATTAGACCCCAACAAGCATGGACATAACGAAGTACACAGACTGCTCAGCTACACTCTTGCATATTACTTGGCATGGCACAGAAAAGGTTAGAAAGAGAAACACGTAAGCTTGAGCACATAAGACAAACAGATGTTTAGGGAGTGCTTCTAGGAAGGACATCCCGAGGCAATGAACCTCCTTAGAAAATGCCAGATCTCCTGCAGCGCTACCCCCTCGCACAAGTGGTTGCAATGCCGTTTATGGGTTGGGATTTTTGTTTTTAAAACACCTAGCAAAATACTCATCTTCTACCAACTGAGAAACCCGAAGTGACTCAGCTTTTCCTCCCTGTCGGCTGCAAAGATGCTTTCGGGATGAAGGGCTTTACAACCACCCTCAGGAAACACCTGGCACGATGCTGAGCTGTGCTCACAACCAGCCGTCACCTCACCGTCACATCCGCGGAGATCACCACCGCCATACATTTACCTGCAGTTACTATTGACAAAGCGAGGCAGAGTGACATGTGGCAACGTTTATGACAGCCAGTGCAATCAAAGCTCAGATAAGGGACGTCTCCAGGGGCTGGGGACCACCCAGGCAAGCGGAAGGAATATCTCCAAAGCCAACCAGGGGAGCTGATCCAACGGGAGGAAGAAGAGGGCAAAGGAGAGCCTCTCGCCAGCATCTTACAGCTGAGAAACGCAACAGCAAAGTGGCCGTGGGGACACTCTTCCGGCATTGCTGAGGAGCTCCTCGCAGCAGCCTGAAGAACATGGGCAGGATAGCAACTGCAAATACCAAAGAAGGCCAGAGATCAGTCCAAAAATGAACAGCAGCAGCAACATCCCATGGAGCTGCACAGAAGCAATGGCTCCAGAACTGAAGTTACAGAAACACTGAAGAAAACCCAAAGAATGTAATGAACTGCAGTTAAAATACATCTCTCAAATAGACTCGTATTCATCCACCACGTAAGTATTTATTTACTTTGTAATATTTAGAAATCCTCTTCAAGAGTAAAGCCAGGTGAGGCATATGAACCTTGTCCACTTCCAATCCACTGCTCCCCATTTCTGGTAGCTTCTAAGTATAGTTTAATTCTGAAAATGATCCTCCCAGCCTACTGAGCTGTGGCTCTGTAGTAATACCTCTATTCAAGGCATGATTTAAGTCCAAGAGCTTATTAGTCACCTTCCTTATGCATGCAGCTGGTACAAGGCAGCTATGCCTTTGAAAAACCACGGCAAACAATTCTCTCCCATTTGTCCGGGCTGGATTTGGCTGAACGTCCCCTGTGCAATTTGCACAGAGAGAATCTCAGCTTACAGCACTCCCAGACAGGCAGCACTGCTGCGTGTCACCAGGCAAACTAAAGCCACCCCATAAAGAGGAAAGGGAGTAGGAACATAAGAGCTGTTTGCTTTTGTAGCCACACACATTTTAAAAAAAAAAAAAAAAATAGAAGAGGATGACCAAAATATCTTGCTTGATGTTCTGCTCAGCACTAGCAACGTTAGAGCCACCATTTTAAAGTAGTGGGACATGAGAGTTCAGCTTTAAATCACATTACCTTGCTTTAAAAATGATATACGCAAAAATAATATAAGCAATAAGGTGAAGAGACTGAGGTTTTGCAAAACTGAGCTAAGAGTGCAACACCATAATTTTCTGACACTAACAATTAAACTTTGTTTTAGAAACATTTCTATTGTAATGAATCCTAAAAATTGCTTTTTCAAATATATATATTTGGGGAAAAAAGATATATACAGTGTGCTGAAAAAATAGCTTCTGTTCTCTCCAAGGGCAGACACACCATCTGCTCTGGAATACACCTGCAGTAAATCTGCACAAACACAAACTCGAGCCATCCAGTCAATAAATAATTTAATGAGGTTACAGTTCTGCAAGAAAACATGACAGCACCCCTTCCCAGCCTCCAGCCTCACCCGCAGGCACGGCAGAAAAATGCATGTGAGCCAAACAACAAACCACAGTTGCACCAAAAAGCCACTGGAATGCGCAGATCTTCACAGAAGATATTGCTTCAGGCCCAGACACTTGTACACCGTTAATACTTGCCTCCGTGTGAAAAAACATGCAGCGCCTGCCATCAGCCTCCCAGTTATACTTCAGCCAGATCATGCTCCGGGGACCATGCATTTCGGGGAGGGGGAGAGCCCAGACCCACGTGTACCAAAACATCAAAACATGGGGATGGTGAAATGAAGGGGAAGGCTGCAGCAAAGCTCTCTGCTGCAAGTCTCGAAGATGACTCTCAGGAAATGAAGCCAGCTGTCAGAATGGAAGTCGCTTCAACTGCTCATATGTGATAAAAAACTGAAGGGAATGTCAAGGAATTGGGCCAAATACATAAGGCGGCTGCACTGGGCCTCCCGACATGACCAGGCCATGCCTGGCACGGCAAGGCAGGTAGAGCATCAGCACAGTACAGCTGAAGACCAACGTGGGGAAGCCCCTCTTGCAGGCAGCATCAACCGATCTGCACAGGCAGAAGAGAGCTGTGGGACAAGAGCTACCAGGAGAGGGAAGAGACTGACCCAGAAGCAAAACTAGCCCAGGCTTGCCTAGACCATTGAGAAAGGGAGGTGGCTCTAACCCCAGACTGGGACTTCTTTAAAATAAATTATACGCACAATTTCAGAGGGCAAGAAGGATCTAGTACAGCAACACAGCAGCACTAGTTCTGCAGAACAGGTCAGCACCCATCTCAGAGCAGCAGAACGTTCCTCGGGCTTCCCTCATGAAACAGGAGCTGATCCAGAAACAGCAGCACCTCCAGGAGCCTGGGCCAAAGGGAAAGTCTCAAGCCAAGCACCTGAGGGCACTCTACAGGAAACCACCGGTGCTGCTGCACTGGAAGACCCCGCACTGGCCACCTAGAGAACTGTTAGAAGCAGCAGTCACAACCAGCGGCATTTTTTGGCACTTGAACAGCAGCAGCCACATCACAGCTTACGTCTGTCCAAGCAGGACAGGGAGTCCGCTTTGGGCTGCCGCAGGGAAGACAAAGAGGTGCCCCATCAAGGTGTCTGCTCTGCACTTCCCTTTACAGCTTGGTTTTCCCCTGCCTGTCCATACACATGACCTCCCAGCAGCACACTGAAGGATACAATGATGTTCCAGGGACCGAGCCGAAGCCAGTTGGGCCAGAAACCTTTATAGAGTGCAAAGAAGCCCTCGCTCTTCCATGTCTGGAAGGAGAGAAGAGACAGATCAATTATGACACACACCAGGTCCATGCTCTGCCCATCTCCCTAATGCCACGTGTGATTGTCTGCAGTAAGCAGACAAGCCAGTGGCGATGCAGTTAAGTTGTGCGAAGTGTCACTTACAGTATATGAACCTAATCAAACTGCATCACTGACAAAGTTTTGTCCCATAAGGTTGGGAGGATGCTCAAGCTGATAGCGACCTCAGGAAAGTGACTCTAGGCCCTTCTCTGGTTTGTCTGAAACACTCACTGACAAACACGTTCTGTCGCTGTAGAATCTAACTGCTCGTATCAGTGGCGTGGGGTGCTGGAACCTGGCCAGACTCCTAAAGACAGGTATTTGCCCACCTCTCTCACCTCCTTACCTTCACAAGGCCATCCAGAGTGCCCCTATAGAGCTCCGTGCTGCCCACTATTGCCCGCTGGTTCATCATCCGTGTCCGCACCACGTCCACAGGGTTGGAGGCAATGGCCCCAGCCAGCCCACATGTAAAACTGGAACTATATACACACCAAAACAGGAGAGAGGAACAGCTCTGAACACAGCCATTTTGGCTCAGACAGGCCTTGACATAAGCACAAGAGAGTATCTTTCACTGGATTTTATGAAAGGCATTTAGCAATAAGCATTAGCTGCACTACCTGCTCCCACCCAGAAAACAGGCAGAGGCAGGAACCACACCGCCTCAGGACCCCAGAGAGCTCAGGGAAGGGAAACGCTCAGCTTTGTCTAATCAAGACCTCGTCAGAGCCCACTGCTGGGTCTCCACAGGGACAGCCTGCAGTCCAGCAAGCGTCTCCGGGTGCTGTCGAGGTGACACAGACCTGAAGGCAGCCTCTTGGAAGCGCACATCCTTCTCACCAGAGCAAACATTTCTTCGAGGCGGGGAAGGAGGGAGGAAGACCAAAGGCAGCAAGAGGGAGCATGCAGCTGCTAGTCTCCTCCCTCCACGTATGGTCTAGTGCTCGTCACGTTCAGCCCACAGCAGGCAAACCCAACAGAAGCACTGCAGCACCTCCAGCTAAAGTGTCTGCCAGAAGAATAGGAAAATGTAGGTGAAAAAAGACTTTGGGAGGTCTCTAACCCACCCCCTGCCCAGAGCAGGCTGACTTCAGAACTTGGTCAGATTGTGCTCAGGGCCTCGTCAGCTTTGCAAGTCTCTGTTCATCTCACACAGCTCTTACAGCAATGGCTGCAAGCTGACAGTGTCTGTACAGATGAGGACCTAGGGCTGGAGCAGCTCTTTCAACTGATTGCTACAGGTAGTCACACACCGGAACTCCTGCCTTGTCCACACCAGGGCACAGACACGGAGCAACAGCATTTCTGGTCAGTGAGCTGAAATCAAGCTGACGTTTTACAGGACCAAAGGACTTCTGCCAGGCTCCTTCTCCAGGGAGGTCTCTCTGGGGATACTTGCTGGTCATTCTGCGCTGCTCCAGTTGACATAGCAGATCCCTCAGAAGTACCAAGCCTGTTCTCTGCAGCTCTCTTGCTCTATAAACAGGTCTCACCCCAAATCCCACCTCGCTCCTCTGCTTCACACACCACTGCCAAACCTGGAGAGTGCAGCAGCTGCAGCAAATACTCACACGAAGTGGGCGAAGATGGTGTCGCCCATCAGGCCTGACAGGATTAAGTGCTTCTTGGTGATGTCATAGACTGGCAGTTCCACCCCGACCACGATGGCGGCTCTCTGAGCTGTTGGGACAACACCCTGCAGAGCACAAACATCAGTCACAAGTGCAAACTGCTGCCTGGGGACTGCAGCTAGTATAACACCTCCCCCCAGTTCCTCTCAGGGGCCTTTTGCTGACAATCTACCTTGTATCCTCCTTGCCCTATCTTGCAGCTGTAGCTCTTCAAGTAGACCAGCTCACTGTCTCCCAACTTTACTCCAAAGCTAAGGAGGATTCCTCCACCCTGGCAGCATTACTCCAGCTAGATTAACTACATGCTGCTTCTCTCCTCCCAGCCACTAGCACACAGGAATCAGGCTACAATCCACTCCTCTCCCCCCACTGAACAGTACCCACCAATTTCAATACCAGAAAAGATTCTGCACCACAAGAAGAGGAGCTGTTTAACAAGCCAGGTGGGGCTCCAAGTCCTCCTTGCTACGTAACAGCAGAGCCTTGTTAAGGTTTTTGATTTAGGAGACTTTCATGTATTAAAAGAGTTGGTGCTGGCAGGACATTGACCTGGGAACTGGCAAGACAATTACTGGAACAACTGTGAGCTTAGGTAAGGAACCCGCTACCTTCTGTCTGAGAAATATCCCAGCAAATCCCTCACCAGGAACCAGCTAAAAATAACTGCAAATTATTACTGGCTTGCAGAACAAGGAGAACATGGCAGCAATGCGGAGTTGGGCCATTTCACAGCAACTCTAACACCACCCAAGTAACTCAGGGAGACCCATGGTGTCATGAGAGAGCTTCCTGGTCACTGGGACTGGGAGCAACCCTTCAGTGTGGCCAAATTATGAGCCAGCCCATCAGGACAGCCAGCTTTGTCACCACACAAAACCAAAGCAACTGTAAGAAGGAAAAGTACTCGTCAGGTTTATGGCTCCTGCTGTCCCCATCCCGCTGTGCTAATGCAGCGCCTGACAGTCTCCTTCTGGGTTCCTGCCTGACGCAATCCTGGCACAGCCAGCTCAAACATCCCCACAAGATGCATGCCAGAACTGGTGAGACTGGCGAGCGCAAACATCTTTGCCTCAACGTGAGAGAAGACTGAAGGGAGGAGACAGTGGTTGTCCCAGACCAGAGAGCAGCGAGACTAGCTTGATCACTGGAATCCACCTCAAGACTGATCTGTCTCTGCACCGTGTCCTGTCTGCAGCACACATCAGCAACACAGAGGGTTTCATTTCTTTTCTAGTCTCTCTTCCCCTCTTGTGTGTCTTTGTCTAGAGAGCAGAAATAATATCAAAGTAAGTATTATGTCAACACTGGCCGCTGATTGACTCCTCCTCCCCTTCCCACACAGGACACTGCAACAGCTATCTTTCTGTAAAAGACTTCAGTGACCATAAGAGGGAGAAATCTGACTGTTGCCTAGAAAAAAGCATTGGGATTCGGTAGTTCCCATACCTGACCTCGTAACTCAGCAGACTGCTGGATAACTGAGCATATGGAAGACTTGTAATGGAAGGATGAAGTGAGGTTCTCCAACAAAAGCCGAAGAACCACTGCTAAAATCCAAACAGTAAGGCTTGAGCACTGGTAACTCTCATTTGTCTTCAAGCCCAAGAGCCATCACCAGCTTCCCCAAAAGCCACCACTCTGTCCTACTCTTTGCATGCTCAGAGGGCAAGTTTAAGGGGTCTAAGACTGGGTAAGTGGGGACACCAGGCAAATTTGTCCCTGTGGAACTTCAGAAAGTTACTGTATGTCATTAGTGTGTCTCAGGTTACTTGGAAGAATTCTTTTTCCTCCACGTAAGGAGGTGCTCAGCCGCTCATGTTCAGAGGTAGGTAAATTGCCCTGCTCACTGCGTGCAGGGTCACCTTCAGTTGACTCCAAGATACATCAGGCTGAGCATCCTTCCTAAGGCAACCATGGAGAGGGTCTAGCCCCCAACACTGGTCCATTCAAAGGACACTCATGTATTTGAAACTTTATGCACACCAGCTTCAGCCATTTCCATAAGAGGAAATGGCCTCAAGTTGCGCCAGGGGGATATTAGGAGAAATTTCTTCACTAAAATGGTTGTCACGCACTGGGACAGGCTGCCCAGGGAAGTGGTTGAGTCACCATCCCTGGAGGGATTTAAAAGACGTGTAGATGTGGTACTTAGGGACACGGTGTAGTGGTGGACTTGGCAGTGCTAGGTTAACGGTTGGACTTGATGATCTTAAAGGTCTTTTCCACCCTAAACGATTCTCTGATTCAGTCCTGGAAACCAGGTCTGCCTGGCCCATCGCTGATGCTGCCATAGCACAGACCCAGTTTCCATGACAGACGTGCTTCTGTTTGTCTGGTAACCAGAAGCAGGACTTTGCTACTACCCTTGGTTCAGTTCTCTTCAAGAGCTGCACCTGGGTGTAGCAAACAAGTTGAGGAAGCTGTTAGTTCTGCTGCTAGTGTGGGGGTTCCAGCAGCTGATGCTTACCCTCCAGAGGCCTCGGGTACCCTCCTGCTGGTAGATGTCGATGAAGCTGCCAATCATGCCACCCTGGAATAAACTGCCTTGAGCCTGCATTCGAATCTGAAAGAAATGTGAGAATCAGCGGGACGACATCAGCGCCTGCCCCGGAGGGCAGAGATAGCAGCTCAGTGGAGCTCCTGGTAGAAAGAACAACAGAGCATCTCAGAGCAGACACCGCCATCCACCTGCCCTCTCCCTGCAAACTATGCAGCAAATGACAATGGCAGGCAAGGAGCAGGGACAGCAACAGGATAGAAGCACAGTGCAAAACTCAGACAAGACAGAGAAGTGACGGGCAAGGCCTTCCCACTCTGAAAGCACTCTGAGAAGGTTGATCTACACAGGGAGAAGCGTGGGAAAGTTCTCCAGGCTCTCTTTGCTCAGAGCAGAGCTCCCTTGACCCCAGTAACCCCACAGTAGGGGATGGAAGGGACCAGGCAGTCCCCACTGGACTCTGGTCACTCCACGTAACAGGCAGGAGTTTGCGGCAGTGTCAGCAAAGCACAGCACAGTGACCAAAGGGAAAGGAGCCGAGAAGGTCTGATGAATAGCTGGCTACCACCCCACTCACCTTACCCAGTTAAGATAACACAGCCTCCACCCCTTGCCATAACAGATTTCATGATCTTTAAGAGCTGCACTTTCAAAAATCTGTTTATTGCTCTGGGCTTCTGTTCCCATTCATAAAAACCCCAAATTAGCAGAACTGATGCCAGCAGTGGCTCAGAGAGCACCTCACTGCAGCTGGGAGAGATGCATCTTCACTGGAAAGCAGCAGCTTCTACATGTCAAACCACAGCCAGCCAGGAGCCGTCTCTGGCCAGCTACACTTCTTACCTTCAGCACATCTGTCGGATTGGCAATTGCAGAGGAGATCACCCCTGAAACCACTCCGCAGATTACATTGATTAGCAACGTTTCATCTGCAATCAAGAAAAGAAAGTCAGATCTTAAAGATATAAAGAGAAGGTGCACAGATTGTACTGAACAAGCAAGAAGCTCTGGGAAGAGCAGAGAAGCTCAGTTCGCAAATCATATGGTGAAGCTGCACGAGCAGAGGCTGGCCAGCTACCATCAGCTCATGGCAGATCTGTCCCCACAGCTGCCAGAGACAGAAAGCAGCAGCTGAAACACTCAGCAACACGCTCTCAGAGAGAAGCGGCTCTTACTGATGAGTCTAGCTGATCAGACAAGGGAAAGACTGTGATACATGAAAATTTTGAACAATTATCTGAGATTTCAGTGTCCAGTGATGCTTTTCTCATGAAACAAGCCAAGACAGAGGAAGACAGAGAGGGACAACCCAACACTTCTCAAGGCAACCTGATACCAATTCGTTTTGATCTGGAGCCCCAGCTGGCCGCACTCAGAATACGCAGCCACCTTGAGAAAACAGAGAACAGGCGACCCAGGCAGAGAAAGTTAGATGCAATTAGTTCCAGGGGGGGCAGGTGGAATAATCCAAGACTTCCAGGCCCAGTATTAGGGTGATGGTTACGTTGGGAAAAGGCACAGCCCTTTGCTGGTACTGACCACAGCACTTCCCAGAGGAGACCAGGCCACTGGCTGCCCCAGGCCTGTAGGGAGACAAACATTCAGACAACGGTACTCACAACTGGAAATGCTGCAACAGCAAGCGAGGAGAGACGTGCAGCCCAGCGTACACACACAGAACCACGCACAGGCAGAGGTGTTACTGGGGAACAGAGCAGCCCCTGGAAAGAAGCCCTAGTGCGCTGCACTTCCCAGTCCTCTCGCTGGCCTGCTGACCGGCCTGGACCACCCATCTCACTTTGCCAGGTCAGAATGGCATTACAATAGCCACTCATGTCGCACCAGGATTTAAAACTGCTCGTGCAGATCTTGGTGCTCCTTCAGCAAGCACATACCACACCTGCTGCTCCACTCTCTAGGTAAGAGACGCAGAGGCCCTCATTAGCAGAGGTGCACAGGTCAAGAGCATTCACAGTATCCCATCCCTATGGTTGGAGCCAAAGCTAAAGAGCTGGGCAGTACAATTTCTATCCAGACGTGCTGCGTGCAGGCACAAGGACTCAAAGGCTGCAGCAGGAAGACAGGAGAGACTCGCTACTGAAGCTTTCAATCTGTGTAACACATCTGATGTACAGATGGGACGTGATATCTTCCCTGAGACTAATCAGAAAGGAGAGAGGAGCCTGCGTCAGCAATACCTTTTTTTTGGCTCTGATGTTGCAGAACAGAGATAAAGGCCAGGGAAAGGACAGACGTGGCTAGAGAGGAGGTGTTTGGCTAGCGACTGTGGGCAGTGCCAAGCACAGCGAGAGTCACATCTGTATTGAAACCTATCCTTGCTATTACTGTACAAACAAAACCACAGCGTGAAGTAACAAGAACTCCGTTTCTGTGGGAATCTATAGCTGAGAAGGACAGAGAAAGGAATGAGCAAAACCACACAGCACAGAGAGCACAAGATTTCACACTGCACCTCTGGTGAGACGAGAGGTGCCTGCACTGACGCATTTACTGACACTGACCTTCCATGCGATCTACAAACAGCCGCTTCAAGCTCTGGTAAATGCCAATCTTTATGGTGCCATAGGAGGCCTGTCTCAGCAACGCAGGGGCGATCCTGGGTGGGGAGACAAATGAAACCGTTGAACCCTGCCAGCGTAGCGGTCCTCCTTGCAGGCCCAGCACAGGTCACTCCCCATCAGCCCCCAAACTGCAAGGGGCATTGCTTGAGCCAGGCATGTCCCCGCCGCGGCTCAGACGCTCCCAAGAAGCGCAGCTCGATCAGGCTCCCAGGATAACAACCCCAGGTGCCTGAGAAGCACCTCGGATTGCCCCCACGCACCCTCCAGTGCGGGAGCCTGGCACCCACGCAAGTCCTCGCTCCCCACCTCGGGAAAACCAGGAGTCTCCAGACACTGCTGCCCCGGCCCCCGGCTCCCCCTGCGGGGCTCAGGGCTGGCTGGGATCCCGGGG